TCTGGGCAGGGTGTCTTTTCGTGGGAGCCACATGCGTCTGGGCAGGGTGTCTTTTCTGGACAGGTCATCTCAGTACTCCCCACCCAGCTCTATGATCCGTGTCCACCAAGCACATAAACTAACACAAAGGAACTCGTAACGACAGACTAGAAGAAAAGACTAGCCGTATAAACGAACCAAAGAAACAACAGAACAAACAAACGCCCAGTAATGGTTTCTTCTAGGAAAAGACCCCAGCACCTTTCAGGATAGAAAACTACGTGGACTTCCTCTCTAAGTCCCTCATCAAAGTGACCAATGTCAAACTGCCACCTGGGAATTTGCAAGCGAGGTTTTGTCAACCACCTCATCCATCACTCATTTCCTCCCCCTTCCTCCGGATCTGTCCCCCACACATGGGCAGGGGGAGAGGCACAGATGGGAGCAGGAGCAGAGCATTAGTTACCGGGAAGCCCATGTCCGTGAGCTGTTTGATGAGCCGCGTCAGGATCCAGGTGTCGTCCTGCTTGGTGGACGTCTTCATGCCCTGGAACAGAGAGGCCAGTAGTCACGGTGAGTCGCCACCACTCAGAATCTTCTGGCTAAACAGTGACTAGTTCTTTGCTGCAGAAAGTCCCTGGGCCACACTGGTAGGTAACAGAGGGACTTTAGAAACACAGGGTCATCATTTCTCTTCTCCAGAGAAGGGTTTCATTCACCACAGACATGAGTGAGCTTCAAAGAGTCTGGGGGAAAATTCCACTGTCTTTTAATAAGTCCATTACCAGATAACCATAAGTACTCTAGGAGACACAACCTTTGGCTAATACTACATGAAATTCATGACAAGGCTTTTCTGTCCTTCTCTGAGCTTTGCTTAAAAGACAACAGAATGTAGGGTTCTCATTCCAACTAGAAGAAAGGAATAAAAAAGCCTGTTAATGTTACAAACTTCTCATTGGGCTGCTAATTGTTAGATCAGCAATTCAAACCTACCAGCGATTCCTTGGGAGAAAGAGTAAACCCTCAGAAACCCGAACCGGCAGTTCTATTTTGTCTTACAGAATTGCTCTGAGTTGGAATGGACTCAATGCCATGACAAACATCCTTCTGGTATTCTCTGCTTTCAGCCAACATCCATTTGACATCAGCCATGTTCCATGTCCTCATCTGAATCGGGCTTGAACCTCTGGCACTTCAATGGACTGTGGCCGCCATTTTTGAATTATCTTTAGCAAAACTTTACTTGCATGCGATATTAATGATATTGTCTGATGATTTCCGCATTCAGTTGGGTCACTTGTCTTTGGAATGGGCACAAACATGGATCTCTTCCAATCAGTTGGCCAGGTAGCTATCTTCAAAAGTTCTTGGTATACATGAGTGAGTGTCTCCAGTGCTGCATCAGTTTGTTGAAAGATTTCCATTTATATTCCAGCAATTCCTGAAGCCTAAATTCTTTGCCAATGCCTTTAGCCTTGGACTTCCTCCTTGAGTACATTTGACTCTTGGTGAATTCACCAAGAGTACCATTGACAACTTGGCAATTTCAAGACAACTTCTTGAAATGGTTGAACATTGATCATTTTCTTTTTGGTCAGTTGACCCTCTGCATTCCTTCCATCATCTTTTGATGCTGTCATCACCATTTAATATTTTGCTCAAAGAATCTTTCAGTGTTCCAAGTCAAGGCTTGAATTTTTTCCTTATTTCATTTTATTTTTTTTTAGCTTGAGAAATAGTGTTTTCTCCCCTTTTGGTTTTTGAATTCCAGATTTTTGAACATTTCATTATATTTGTCTTTGTCTTCTCGAGCTGCCCTTTGAAATTTTCTGTTCAGTCCTTTTACCTCGTCATCTCATTTCTTCCATTTGTTTTAGCATCTCTATGCTGGAGAGCAAGTTTCAGAGTATCTTCTGACATCTACTTTGATCTTGTCTTTCTTCCTTGCCTTTGTAATGACTTTTTGCTTTTTTCCTGTTTGATGTTTTTGATGCCACCCACAACTCATCTGGCTTTTGGTCCTTAATGTTTAATGCATCAAATCTGTTTTTGAGATGATTTCTAAATTTAGGTGGGTTATGTTCAAGGTCAAATTTTGGCTCCTGTGGACTTGTTTTAATTTTCTTCAGCTTTAGTCTGAACTTGATATGAGTAATTGATGGTCTGTCCCTGGCCTTGTTTTGGCTGATGATATGGAGCTTTTCCACCGTCTCTCTCTCTTTTTTTTAAACATTAACATTATATGTTTAATGACACTGAGATGCAGATAGAGCAGGGCATTAAGGAATGGAACTTTAGCATTTAAAAATTTGTCTAAATTGCTTTGGTATAAATAATAAGTGTTTGCCCATCTCTGGTGTATTTGGATAGTCTCTATTTGGTTTTTCCTTCGATGGGAAGTTTTCTCATTTAAAATTTGAGCTACCCTTCTCTTTCACTTTTTTTTTTAAGGTTTTTATTGTGGATTGAGTGAAAGTTTTCAGGGCACATCATCGGTTTCACATTCATACATTCATATACCTTGTTTCATTACATTGATTATAATCCCCTCCACATACCATCAGTTAACAGAGTTTCTCTCTATCCTCTTTAGATTTCTCTTTTTTGGGAAAAACTTTGCCTTTTTGGAATTTACAGTCTCGGCTTTTAGGGAAGGTTTTTACATTTATCTGTGGGTATCCAGGGCTCATGTATGGAATTACTAACCAGCATAACTGAATAATCAGATAAGGGACATCTTGCTATGTCTGCTAGGTGTCCATCGTCTCTTTTCACAGATGCAGTCAATTTAATTTCTGTGTATTCCATCTGGCGAGGTCCATGTGTACAGTCCTCTTATGTTGCTTTAAAAGGTATTTACAAAGAAGTCATTGGTCTTGCAGAATTCTATCATGTGATCTCCAGCATCATTTCTATTACCAAGGCCATATTTTCCAGCTATTAATGCATCCTTGTAGGCATGTGGCTATTATCCTATCACAGACAGTATTATACTTCATGACTGATCTTCGTATGTTCTTTTTGAAGATAAATGCGACGCCATTCCTCTTCAATTTCTCATTTTGTCATTCAACTTGTAAGCCATGGTTTACAACTTTTTACTATTTTTACATGGTTGACAATTTCACAATGTCAATTTGTCATTCAACTTGTAAACCATGTGACTGTCAGATTTAAAATGGCCAATACCAGTCCATTTCAGCTCACTAATGCCTAGTATCAAAGTTTATGCATTTCAGTTCATTTTTGACAACTTCCAATTTTCCTAGATTCATACTTTCTACATTCCATGTTCTGATTACTGATGGATGTTTATAGCTGTTTATCCTTATTTTGATTTGTGTGCGCCCCGTCAGCAAACAAGGTCCCAAAGGCTTCACTCCATTCACGCCACCGCGGTCAACTCTACTTGGAGGAGGCAGCTCTTCCCCAGTTATATATGTATGCCTTCCAACCTGAGAGGCTCATCTTCTGGTGCTGTATCTGACATGATTCTGGTGCTCTTCATCAGGTTTCAGTATTCACTATTCTGGTGTCATGTGACATGGTGTCATGTGTCATAAGATTTTCAGGGGCTAACCATTAGGAAATAGTCTGCCTCTTCTTCCTAGTCTGTGTTAATCTGGAAGTCCAGCTGAAACCTGTCCACTATGGGAGTGCCCTGCAGGGGTTAATGTCAGTGGCATAGCTTCCAGCGTCAGAGTAACATGCAAGACACCACAGGACAACGAACTGGCAGACAAGGCTACAGCCATGGCGAGTGAGAATGCTGGCTCGGCGGCTCAACAAGTTGTACATTTGTCAGATACTGTTCCGTTGGCCCCAGGTGCCCTTCTACGAGCTTCATCCTGAGGGGATGACAAGGGGCAGGTGTTTCCATCCCCTGAGTGGTGGGACAACAGCCCAGGTTTGCCTACAGCCTTATCAACACAGTGTGGTCACTAAACAGTGTGGGCCTCTCTCTGCATTGTCTTGGGTTGAATTCTGATTTCAACCCAGCCAGGCAGAATACTCATTTATACATTCAGGAGCTGTTGGCACTTCCTGTTGTTGGGGTCATCTAACCACATTCTTTGCTCATTTTTCTACTGTTTTTTTTTTTTTTTTCTTTTTCTTTTATAGTAGTCTTTAGGACCTTTCGTGATCTATCAGGGAGGAAAAAGCCTTTCTGTAGGATGTGAGTTACAAGTAGTTCTTCCCAGTTTGTCATTTGTCTTTTGACAGTGATTACGGCATTGCTATTATTCACAGCTTTCATGTTTGTCTATTGAGAGTTATAAACCTTTAATTTAGGGAGTCCTGGTGTGGCGCAAGGTCGGTAGTTCAAACTCACCAGTTGCTTCCAGAAATCTTACACTGGGTCGCTATGAGTCGGAACCAACTCAGCAGCTTAACAACAGCAAGGAGACCTGGGGTAGAGTTAGGAAGGTTTCAGCCACGCCAGGGCTACTTTCAGATCTGTGTTCTTTCAAACTGGACTGCATCTCGCTGTGCAGGCCTACGCTGCTTTACTGCATCTCGCTGTTGCTGTTAAGTGCTTCAGATCCTGAGTCTCTTCACAAACTCAGGGTCTGTGGCTACCTGCGCTCCAAGTCTGCCGGCACCAGTTCCTGCTTCTGTGTCATTGTGTCAGTGGTAATTCTCACAGTGTCTCGGACGGCTCCAAACTGGCTACTTCACTGACTACCATGCAGTATCAAAAGAATTTCTTTCTACGCTGGGAAACCCAAACACTCGTGGGGCGCGCTTTCTTGTGATCACCATAACATCTGTAGGTGTGAACTGTGGCTGTAACTTAATTTTCCCTCTGTTTCATGACCATGTAACTGCCTGCCTCATACACTGTACTCTCTTAAGAGCTGAGGATTGACCCCCAAGAGCTTTTGGCTCCGTGGTCTCTACACTTGTTATATTTACTGTCTTAGGAAGGAACATGGACAAATCTGAAAAACATGAGTTCGTTTAAAAAGAAATCTAATATACGCTAAGATAATGAACTCTTGGAATGACAAAGAAAAATGACATTTGAAGAAGGAACACTTGGTGAGGAGAAGGGCAGGAAGAAGTGTCCGGCTCCCTGCCCAGGACTCCTTCCAGAATAGAACCGAATGTGATCCCAGTCCAGGGTGGGAATCAGTTGAAAGGGTGCTTCCTTGGTGGGGGTGGGCTGGAGGAGGTTTGAGCAATGCTCACTCCTGCCCCCTCCTCATTGTTGGACTTCCAGGTCTTGGGTCCCAAGCCTGAAAATCCTCTGGCCAGCTGCCTGACCTGCAGATTTTGTACCTGCTAGCAGAGGTCTGCAGTCTGCCACTGGACCGATGGCTATGGGACCTGCCACTTCTGCCCACATAAGTGTGTGAGCCATTTCCTTGACAAAAGCCCCCTCCCTCACATACACATACTTGCCACTCATTTTGCTTCTTAAGAACCCAGACTACGACAGTACCGAGTACGGGGTGCTCAGCGTGTGCGCTCTGGCTCTGCACGTACCTTTTGAAGCCCTTTTTTGGGGGCATTGCCCCAGGAGCTGCAGGAGGAGGCGTTGTCCTGGGAGGCAGCATTGCTCCACATGTCTCCGTCTTCATCTTCCCACTGACTGGTGCTGAGGTTCACTTCGTCCCCGCTGCTGCCCCAACCTTCTTGCATAGATTTTGAAGCTGGAAAGGAGCAGACAGGCACTCATGAAACCCCCCATCTTTGGGGCAGATGACCCTTCACTCTAACTGAGGGGAGGTAGGAGAAGAGGGTTAGTGAAGGCACAGAGCTCCAATGAAGGCGCATGCCTGGTGCTAGCAGTCTCTGGCATCCAGGGTTTGCTCTTGTATATTTATTTATTCATTCATTTTAAATGTGAGGGTATGCACTCCTATTTAGAGCAGCTCCTTTGTGTTTGTACATCTGTTGGAACCGTCTTGTTTAGAGTTCGTCTCTCACATGAACATACTCTGAGCCCCGTCCCCCTTCTCTGCCTGCAGGCCGCTGGGCTCACCTGGTTTGCACAGGGCTGGGGCAGCAGCAGGGCCGCCGGCTCGTCCAAAGGTCACTGATGGCTCAGCAGGGTGGTCGCCCCATCCACTGCCACTGCTGGGGGGCTTCCCCCACGCTGCGGTGCCGTTGTCCACCAGGGTCGATGGGGAGGCTGGCTCTCCCCAGGCGTTTTCTGCCTTTGAATGAACATTTGGCATTTCTCCCCAGCCTGAGGACACCAAAGAGGGGACCAAGGAGAGACAAGAACCCAAGTGAGATGTTGAGAGAAAGAAGAGGCGCCCTGCAATTTCAGTCATCTTTGGCAAATGCACATGTTTTTGTTGAGTTAATCCTGACTCACAGTGACCCCATGTGACAGAACAGAGCTGTCCCCCCACAGGGGCTCCCAGGCTGTCATCTTGGCAGGAGGAGATTCCTAGGTCTTTTCCCAGCAGCTATCGGGTAGCTTTCACTTTGGTTAGCAGCTCATGCTTAGTCTATCCTTGTTTTCGTTAAGTGCCGTTGAGTCGGTTCTGACTCATAACAACCCTGTATAGGGTCTCTAAGGAGTGGCCGGTGGGTTTGAACTGCTGGCCTTGTAGTGAGCTTTTCCTACAGCGCCACCCAGGACTCCAATCTACCTCTATGACGGCTGTGAGTGGAGCTGAAGGGAGATGAGCACTGGGAATTGGGATGGCTTTGCCTAGCTTCTGAAGACTAGGATTTTCACTCCTGACCCCGCCCTGTCTGAAAATGAAAAGACCGCCCGAGTCTGTTACAGCCCCGAGTAGTTAAAGCCCCCACGTATTTACAACATGGTGTTGCTAAGTGACCGCGAGTTGGTTCCGACTCAGGGTTTCCAAGGAGTGGCTGGTGGGTTTGAACAGCCCAGTGCTTATCATACAGTGTCACCTCAGGACCTAACAGGGTTTAAATGAGTCAATTAAAATGAGTATTTACGAAGCAGTTTGTTTTCCTTCTGGTATTATATATAAATGATCTAAAAGAAATGTTTGTCACACTATTCTTCTATGTGGGCTCAAACACAGCAATGATTGTGAGGATGACGCAGCACTGGGCAGGAACCAACTTGTAGGCAGCTGACAACAACACTCTTTTCTAAGAAAAAATTGCATGTTTTAAGTGTGTATTGTAAAATGATCTTGTTTATCTTTCTACCAACCACCTCAACCTCCGTTTGAGGACTAAGGTCCACCTGACCCAAGCCCTGGTATTTGCAGTAGCTTCATATACATGTGGAAATTGGATAATGGATAAACAAGACCATAGAAGCACGGATGCATTTCAGTTATGGTGCTGGAGGAGAATATTCAAAGTACCATGAACTGCCAAAAGAACAAACAGCCAGAGTGCTCCTTAAAAACCAGAATGGCCAGACTTTGGACCTATTATCAAGAGGGACTCACATAATTCACAATAAAAACTTAAAAAAAAAAAAAGAGAGGGACCAGACTCTAGAGAAAGACATCATGATTGATTGGCAGAGTGGAGGGTCAGCTAAAAAGAGAAAGACCCCCAATGAAATGGGTGGCACAGTGGCAGCAGCAATGGGCTCAGGAGGAGCAGTGATTGAGAGGTTGGCAAAGGACTGGGCAGTGTTTCATTCTGTGGTGCATAAGGTCACTATGAATTGGTACCAACTCAATGGCCCCTAACAACAAGAAGCATAGATGACTTTTGGCAGAGAAATGAGAAGATGGGACATGTCAAGGTAAAGTGATGAGGCAAGTTGTAAGGCCTTCCGGGGAGCTGGAAAGAGTTGAGGACACAGGCGAGGTGCTGTGGGGCAGGGCTCCCCTAGGCTCACTGGCTGCGTGGGTGTCTTCTCTCATCAGGGACTGGCTCTGCATGGACATTAAGACCTGACCCCATCATTCTGCTCTGTGCAAGATCTTTCTTCCGCAGAATCGCTGGCCGTTTCGAACTGCTGACCTTGAAGTTAGCAGCCTAACTCGTACCCACTATGCTACCAGAGCTCCTTCGTTTATGGTATAGAATGTAAATTTGTTGTTGTTGTTAAGTGCTGAGTTGGTTCCAATTCATAACGGCCCTATATAGGGTTTTCAAGAGTGGCTGGTGGGTTTTAACTGTCAACCTTGCAGTTCAAGCTGACCTTGTGGTCCAGTGTTTTGCCTTACAGCACCACACCTTGACTTTCAGAATGTAAACTGTTGTTATTGTTAAAGGCCATGGAGTTGGTTTCAACTCACAGTGACCTTGAACAGGGTTTCCAAGGAGCAGCTGATGGGTTTGAACTGCTGACCACAAGGTCCAATGCTTACACTACACCACTACACCAGGAGTCCAGAATGTAAATAGCTAGCCCAAAATCTTGAACGTATTTGGTCTTCACATGGATAGTTTGATCTCAATTATGAAATTCATTAATTTTCCCTTGATGCTCCTTATCTAATAAAATGCAATAATACTGGTTAATGACAAGAGGACATACAAGCTACGAATCACTTTAAATTACAAGCTGTCTGCCAGGCGAACAGTACAATATGCAAATTGCTGCCAATGACAAGGGAGTTGGTCTAATCAGTCGTTGCTGGCAATTGCTAAGTATACCATTACCTGTAATTACACTGGAAAACGTCATGCACATCGAGAGAAGTGACTGTACAAATTAAAGGACAAAATTAAATCAGAAAAAGTAACACAACTGATCAAATCAATGTTCAGGGAAGCAAGAATAATTCTGGCGCTGCTAGAGATTGATAAGCTGTTAAAATGCTGACAAACTGGACACATCCAATGATGGAGTCACCGGAAATGGGGCTGTCATCATTCGACGTCCATCTCTGAAAGGCAGACTGCAAGCGATTTAACCAAGACACGATAAATTCCAAGACTAGGCCAATTAGAGTTCATTGATGTGTTTCAAGAGCTTTTGATTTCTACTAAAGCAACACAAGAGGAGACCTGGTGGCACAATGGTGACATGCTTGGCTACTAACTGAGAGGCGGGCAGTTTGAATCCACCCAGTGGATTGGATGGGAGCAGACAGCCTAGCCTCATCTGCTTCCATAAAGATCACGGCCAAGAAACTGCTCTCACTGAGTCCAATGCACTGGGGACCAGAGCGCCGGCCCCTTGTTCGACACACAGGCCTCACATCAATAAACATTCCCCCCTCCTCTGCAGTGGAACTTTCTAGTCAATTCCAGCCCGATTTATGAAGCCCCCCAAACACAGGAAAGAAAAATCCAAACCAAACCCCATCCAATCCAAAAGCAGCACCCACGCCCACAGAGCTCAGCCCTCACTTCAGAACGACTGGGTGATGCTTCAGGTAGGATTCCCGCCTTCCGCCTGCATGGAGCCAGGGCTCAGTTTCTGAAGACCGTTGAGCTGTGAGGTAGAGCATCTTGCTGAGTCATTGCAGCAGCAGCTAGCTCTTGGGCTGTCCTTTTTGTGGAACAGGTGGGGTTCTGGGTTCCAGGACAGGGAGTCTTGGAGGAAGGACAGTGCTCTGAGCTTCTGGCTCTGTTACGACAGAGAGAGCCCACAGGCAGGCAGAGGCGTCTTTCCAAGTCTGAGTTGAGTGGACGTAGGTATGGCCCGGCCGAGAGGATCACATGTGTTTCCTGCCTGTGCTGATGGCGGTTGTGCTGGGGAACTTAAACTGTACCACAAACACAGCATCATCACTAGATCAAGTCACGTTTCCTCGGAGTAAACTTTTCCAACTTGCGTGAGATGACGACCCACTATCAGAAGAGCTGACAAGTCTGGCCGTGGCTGAGGAAGGCAGTCCTGAGGAGAAGCGGGGCACAAGTTTGTTGTTAAGTGCCGTTGAGTCGATTATGACCCATAGTGACCCTTTATAGGCTTTCCAAGGAATGGCTGGTGAGCTTGAGCCACCAACCTTGAGGTTCAAAACAACTTTATAGTCCAGCGCATTAGCCCGCAGCGCACCTCAGGACTCCATGGAGCACAGGGAGTAGAATGGAACAAAGAAAAACGGAGTGGGTTACAAGTTGGACTGCTAACCATCAGCGGGTATCTTCCAGTTGGGAGAAAGATGAGGCTAGGCTGTCTGCTCCCATCCAGATGACAGGCACGGAAACTCTACACAGGGTCCCTGTGAGTTAAACCAACTGGATGGCATGTACTTCAGACACATGACACCCATTTCACTTCCACCAACGTGGAGAGACAAAAAGCTGTGCATGCTTTCATGACCCTACTCTGTGTGGTCATTCTACACACCCGGCCCTTTTTCCACTGACCGACTGCTTTCATGAAGCCTAACTGTGTTCAGGGATGGAGACATGTTCTCCTGCCTCAGCCTCACTGCCAGTTGTAGGAGTTAATAGCCAGTGATCTCATGTGGGCCGGCAGACGGATTGTAAGGGTTTCGGCTTATTTATCTCTAGGTGTACAACATCATTGGCCAGTAAAGTATTTTTAGCATCTCTTCTCATTCCCTTAGAAGCAAGTACTCGCTCTGTCTGCACTTTCTCGCTTTGGCCATACCACTGGTGCCAAAATGACATACCAGCTCAGCCATGATTTCATAGCTTCGTAGGTTAGCCCCGCCTGGCTGACAGAGCCGTGGAAGAGGGCTGCGATGGCAGCTTCTAGGCGAGGCGACCCCTCACAGTTCCATGGAGAGGCAGGCTCTGGAGTGTTCCCGCAGACTTGTCACTGCCGCTCTGGTACCTAGTTCATGAAGTGACATTGCATTCTGAGATGACAAAAACGAGCGAATATTGATACCAGAAGGAACTGGCCCTGGGCCATTCACGTCTATAAAACTGGACATTCAAAATACGAATTTCAGAAACTCTTTGGCTCAACAGAAGCAATCAGTCCCCTTTAAGTGGCAATGTGCATCAGCTGAAAAACATAACTGAGACTCTAAGGGGGTGAAAACCGTGTACAATTTACACAAGATAACAGCAACACTATAAAATGTCTGTAAAACACCAGCCGTCAGCATTATCACGTGCAAGGCTTTTTCAACTATGGACACGAGCCAGGGCTGCCCCCACCGCCAACCCTGACTGCTTAGGTCATGGAGGGCAATGGGTGGACGAGCCTCACTCAAAAAAGCAGCGAGAGGGTGAGGAAACCGAGTATGCTGTTAACACTGGACAGGCACTGGGTCCAGGAGTCAGCCCTATGGTCCAAGGACATCACTAGCAGAAATGAAAACAAGGAGTGACCAATGGGTCCTATGTATATAAGAGACCCTGTTTCTGCATACGGGCTTACAACACACAAAGAGAAGTAGTTTGTCAAGAACCACGCATTTCCCATAAAAAAGAAATGATTTTGGCTCTTCAAAGCAAGAATGCTTCACCCAGAGTAAAGCTCACATTGTTTGTCTATTAAACACTAGTTAAGAGTAGACTGTAAGGGCAGCCTATCCAAGGGGAAAAGATGAACCGATGCAATGTGGTTCCAGCCAGCAAAATGACACATTGCTGAGTATATATATGTTCCTCATCAAAGCCTCTGTACCCTCAACACCTGCCCCCTTGAGCTGTCCAGAAACCAGACACAAATTCACAGATAACACAATCTTAAAACACATGCAAATATTTGAAGGGTATAGTAGACTTAAGGAGAAACCTAAACATTCAACATTAGACATTTACAAACCTATGGCTTAGGAACCAAATGTGGGCTAGGGCCTGCTTTTCTAAATAAAGTTTTATTGGAACTTGTCTACAGCTGCTTTCCTGCTACAACACTGGAAGTGGAGATGGCCTGGCTTGTGAAGCTGAACATACCTACTTTCTGGCCTTTTACAGGATGACTGCTGACCTCTGAACCCCATAATTGCTATTTTTGTCCAAGGTCATTTTAAATACATGACAAATTCTACCTAGGTTGTTGGGAAGAAGTGCTCTTGACGGCAGAACTCTATGATGAGCATTTCTGCTCCTGAATGAGCCCCACAACCCTGAGTGTTGTTTCTGCACTGTGTGTGGCCGTTGCAGTGGATTTTGGAGCCAGCAGACATAGAAAGGGTTGCTGTTGGAATGGGTGAAGAGGGCTGGAGGGTGGAGGCGTGTCTGATCTCCACCTCCATGCCCTGGTCACAGTTGTTGTCCTATTCGGCACTTCTCCAAGTGTGGTCTCAACATCACAGGGGTGTTTACTGGACTCCCACATCCTAGGGCCATTGATGGAATTTCCAACATCAACTTCCCTAAATCCAGGTGTTTTGCAAGATAAAAATCCCACAGACGGATGGGGTAAAACTGGACTAAGTGGAGGTTTTGTGGGGGCCTGTGTCTTTCCCTCTCACGCTGCCCTCTCCATGGACAGGGCTCTCTTCCTTGCCTCGAGCCCCTCGCCATTTTTCTTTGAGAACCATGTCTCCAAAGAGGGCCAAGAAGTGACCGATCCCTTTGTTGTGTTTGTAGTTTCTTGCTTTGGCTATATCACTGGTGTCAAAATGACAGAGCAGACACCGGCCGACCCTGACTGCTCAGGTACACAAAGGGTGTTTGAACGATTACCTCTTAGTCTATGTGTACAGGTTCCTCATGAGCACAATGAAGCATTAGAGAACATTCATTCTCTGTAATGTTGTCTATAGCTTGTCATGATCCAAAGTTGAAAGCCTTTGCAGAGTCAATAAAGCGCAGGTAAACATCTTTCTAGTATTCTCCACTTTCAGCCAAGATCCATTTGACATCAGCACGTCAGCAGTGATGTCGTTCCATGTCCTCGTCTGAATCTGGCTTGAACCTCTAGCAGTTCCCTGTCAATGTACTGTTGCAGCAGTTTTTGATTTTTCTTTAGCACAATTGTACTTGCCTGTGATTACTAGGAGCTTGATTTTAGGAATGAGGGAGGACAGAGTCCTACCTGTGCACAGGTGGAACCATACAACTTATGGGCCAAAGAAGGAACATTAAAAATATTCAGAAGAATGAGGTTAAAAAGGAAAAGAAATTAAAACAAAATTTGTTCTGTACAATGATACAAATAGTCTTCATTCTCCTAAACTACTATGACAGAAATACTCCCAGTGGATGGTTTTAACAACCTGAAAGGTATTCTCTCAGAGGTGAGGGGACTGGAAGTCTGAATTCTATGTCTCCTGGATCTAGGGGTTCTGAGCAGTCCAGGGACGTGCTCTGCTCCAATCTTATTCCACATTTCTTGCAAGATCAAAGGTGATACAAGCCACACCCCAGGATCAGGACCTGAGTAAGGGGCTGCCCTCCCCCCCCCCCAAGGCCCCTTACAACTCACTGGCTGATCACATCATGGAGAACAAACCCACCATTACGTAACTGCCCAACCAAGGGGATACTTAATTTACCAGGATACAACTCAATACATGATATAAGCTATCCAACATGTAATAAATATATAAACTATGAAGTGGAACATTTGTCATTTAAAAAGAGGTGATGCTGACGTCTGGTAAGATGGTGGACTCAACAGACACACCCAACAGCTCCTCTACAACAAAGATACAAGAGACCAAATAAACTAGACACAGAGGAAAATCCTGGTGCCCTGAACTTCAGAAGGTTTAGAGAAGTGGATTGAGTGCTTGCTGCAAGGAGGCTGAGTAGGGACAGCGAGCCAGCAAGACCGAGTGGTGAATGGCTGGCCAGACGCAGTGTGACCATTCTAAGCCTTTGTAAGCAGCTCTGGCGACAGGAGGCACAGCAGAGTCACACAGGCCACTGGAAAGGTGCCATTCCTTCTTTTCCCTACTCTCCCCTGGTGACCAGAGATGTGGCCAGCTCCCACCTCATCCACCCTTGGCACAGCCCCTGCTCTCTGGGAGCCTCGAGGTTGGGAGCTATGGCAGTGTGAGGCGAGGGCTGGCTGTGCCGCTTTGGTGCGCTGTTTCAGAGCTTGGATTCAGGCAGGCTCAGCTTATTAGGACCTACAGAACCCACAGAGCCACTAGGCCAGCATATAACTGATCACCCTGCCTCCAGCTGCCCTGTGGTCCTATCAGACACTGAAACTAACTCCATCAAGGGCCTCCATGAACCACTTCCGGAGTGACTTAAACATAGAAAACATGGAGGCCTAGAAGGAGCTTCAGCTAGCTAGGGCCAGAACCACCACTGGTACATCCCTCCCATGTCCACCTGGTGAGCTCCCTGGCTTTCAGGAGCCCCCCAGAGTTTCTACCATCTGTAAGATAAAAGGGTCCAATAGCTGTACTGCCTTTTTTTAGGTTTTTTTTTCCTTTTGTTGTTCCATTGCTTTTGTCTGTCTTTTTCTACTCCTTCTTCGCTTTTCATTCCCTTGAATTTTACACTTTTTATCTCTGCTTTTGTTTTTCCTTCTTTTCTTTTGTTTCTCAATGACCCTTTTCTTCTTCTTTTTTCCTTTTGATCTTTGTTTACTACTTTCTGCTCTCTTTCTCTTTTCATCTCTCTTCTCCCTGGTTTTTCTAAGTTAAATGTCTCCCTTTTATTTCCTCTCTTCTTTTTCTCTTCTATAGCTTCCATTTCTCTGCCTCTCCTTTGTTTTCACAATTGTTATATTCTTTGTTCTGGCTGCTGCCTGTTTTTATTTTTTCTCTTTTCATTGTTGATTCCTTATTTGTTGATTCTGTTTTGTTTGCTTCCCTTCTCTAACTACACACAAGGAGAGAGCTGGTGAGAGCCTAAGAACACATCAACATACAACCACCCATTAAATACAAATTCAACAACCCCACAATGCCTTGGAGACAATACACCATTTTAGCCCACAAGAAGACACAAGAGCAAATTGCTCAAACAAATGACCAAGACTCAGAGCCAGAAAATGTTTCTGAGGAAGAAAAGGTAATGGAACTAACTGAAAAAGAATGTAAAAAAATGACATTTAGGTACCTTCTTTCATAGGACTGACAGAAAGATAGAGGAAAGCAAAGAGAACACAGAAAAAAACTTGTGAAGAATTCAGGAAAACACAAGAACAAACAGAAAATAAATGCTTTCTTCTCTTTGGATGATACTTAAATACAGTACTACAGGGTTAAAGGGCGTTTTAACATTAATTCTCACATAAACACCCATCAGAGTCCTTATGAATATGTTACAAGAACGGACTACTTTTTCACTCGTAAAGGAACATAAAATACCTTTCGTACCTGGACCGAGCAGAGGCGATCGGTTAAGCTGCGTGCTGGCCTGGTGTGTCGGCGGGGTCTCCACCATGTTTGCGCTGTTACTGGTGGTGGTGGTGGTGGTGGTGGTGGTTGTACTACTCTGGATGACCGGGTTGTTTCTGTCCCACATGTTTACCGTTTTATTGTTGTAGTTGCTTGGGTCACCCCAAGCTGAGGTACCATCATCGATTTCCATTTTGCGTCGAATGGAGGGTGGAGAAGGTTCCTCCCAGCCAGTGGCCTCACTGCTATCCTTCTGTTTGATGGGTACTGGCCCCCCAATCCACCCGGTCCCAGTCTGTTTCACCGAAGCAGCCCCTCCCCAGTTACTCACATTGCTGTCTTGGGGTTTGTTAGCCCAGTTCTGTTGGGGGCCAGGCTTTAAAGACTCCCCCCAGTTGGTACCTGGATTCACCTTTGCATTGGTGCCATTACCCCATCCACTGGTCCCAGACCTCGGAGCATCATTCCAACCGGAAGCTGACCTGTTGTTGTCTGCCTCCCAGCCAGAGCTATCTTTCTTCCTGTCCCCCAGGTGCCCCAGGACGGATGCCGAGTCAGTCCAGTCGCCCCCTCCTGCACTCCAGGAGGGGCTGGGTTTCTGCCCGTCCCCCCAGTGCTGAGATTTGGGTTTCTGAGGCTCCCCCCAGGTGGGAGACTTGTCTTCCTGACTGACGGTCCCACTCCAGGCATGGCCGCTCTTGGTAGCAGCGGCCGCAGCAGCAGTAACAGCAGTAGAGCTTATTGAGTCCCCCCAGACCCCTGGGCCATTGGATGCTTTGTTGTTGCTGTCTCCCCAACCGGTGTTTGCTGGCGCAGCAGCGGGGGGTGAGCTGACCCACCCAGATACTGAAGAGGTATTTGTACTGTTCATGATGGACCCATCGCTCTTCCCCCCTGAGTTCGAAGGCTGAGCAGCTGCGCACCCCCAGGCCTCTGTCCCATTGTCATTCTTTCTCTCAGACCTAGGGGATTCTTCAAAATCCCAGGCAGTGTTTTGCTTTACAGGAGTCTGTCCCCAGCCAGTGTTCGACAGGACTCTTGGGTCAAGATCATTCCTTGGCAATTGGATGTGCCCTTGGTCTACAACCCCCTTGTCTCGCCGGCGGCCCTCTCCGGCTCCTTCCCGCCCAGTGCTTCCTTCGTTGTGATGACCAGAAGCCTCCTGACTTCCTTCGGCTGTGCTCGCTCCAGAAGATGCAGCTTTGGCCCAAGAGTTCATCTGGTCGCTGCCAGGCTGCATGGCAGGACTCTGGCTGCTAACACTAGGATTGTCCCACCCTGTTGATCCTTTCCCATTGATGTCATTACTGGAATGGTGGTTTGGGGGCTTCCCCCACTCCCCATTGACACCATTGGAGGTGCTCCGGCTGGGGTGGCCCCACGCTCCATTGTTGCCACTGCCCCGGCCCCAGGCTAGGATTCCAGGACCAGCGGGCGGTCCGGAATCCCAGGCATTGCCTCCGCTGCCTTCCTTCTGCACAGCACAGCTGGAGCCCTTGTGTTTAGCACTTAATGCTGAGTTCACAGTGTCTCCATTCCCCTGGTTGAACCCAGAATTGCTATTTCCTGTGGCAGGGTTCCCCGGGGACAGCCCCCACACAGAACTGCTCATTCCTTCACCACCGCCCCCACTGACTTGGGAAACTGAGGATCCGTTAGCACCAGGAAGGCCTTGCAGGTGGGGCGGCATGATGGCCCCCATACCAACAGCCATCCCCCAGTTTGGCAGTCCGTTTGTCTGCATTGCATTGACAGGGCTTGGGGAAGCGTTCATGGGGTTAGTGTTATTTGGCCCATCAGAGTTAAGGTTCTGAGGTTGTACGCTGAAAGACACATTCTGAGACGCGGACGTTGGTGGCTCTGTGCTCTCCTGTGGCAGCAAGTTGCCCCAAGCACCTAAAGTGCCTGTTGGCTTCCCATTGGGGCTGCCCATGTTCTGACCTATGGCACTGACTGGGCTGCAAATACTGGAAGGGTTGCCTGTTGCCACAGTTCCTTCATGTCCGAGTACAGGCCAGGCGGCTGGGTTGGCATTGGGATTAAGGTTAAGATTCATGCCAGCATTGGAGTTGGAAGCACCCCAGCAGTTCGGACTTCTGCCATCGCCAATCATGTTGTCCATTTTTCCATCCCCACCACTGAGGGAGCAGTGAGTGAGGCCCGAGCTGGAGCCTGTGGCTACGCCCCACACGCGGGCCGAGTTCCCATTCCCGCCGGCTCCGCCTGATCTGAGGGGACTCTGATTAGAAGTGCTTTGGACGAGTGCGCCGTTGGTGCCATTATTGCCATTGGTCTTCTTAGTGTGTCCAGTGAAGGGGCCCTGGGCACTCCCTGTCGCCATGTTGCTATTCTCCGAGCCACAGGTGGCGGCAGAGTCAGTTTCTGGGGTACATTCTGAGGCAGAGTCCGTCTCGGCTCCTGGGATGGACGGCCCCGCCTCCTTGTCAGGCCTGTCTGTGATCACTCGGTCCCAGCTGCAGTTGGCTTCGCTTCTGTATGTGGGCTGCTGTCCCCAGTGGGGACTTTCATAATGGTCTGCCAGTCCACTGTGGCTGTGATCTGAAAAAGAGGAAACAAAAATTCACAATTAGAGTCGACTGTGAACTAGTCTTGGAGAAGTTCTTCCTTTCCCAGAGTTCAGTTTGAAATGACACATGCTAAAAAATAAAGATTTAGGGGGGAGGTGGGGAATTGCTAGTCTTCTTCAGAGCGCCCATTTAGGAAAGCGTGAATGTCTGGGAAGCAGGGTTAGTTCTCACCCCCACACCTCTGGAGAAGATCAACCACGCAGGTGTCTTTGGAAGCATTCGTAGGAAAAGCAATCTGGGGGACCTGAAGGCAGCAGGTCTCACTTTCTGGCTCACCAACACCTACGAGTAACTCAGACTCCTAGGGAAATGTCGGCGAGGACCCCAAGTCCCAATGGACTTTGGAACACAACTTGTGGACTTTTCATGACTCTGGTTAGAAGAATTGCACAGCTGTGTAGAGACAGCCCTGCTCTTCTGGTAGACAGCAGAGCCACATAGCTGAGAGCCAGGCTGTTTTGGGTGGTGAGGGAGAGAGAAGAGGTGTGTGGTGCAGCAGGATAAGCACCGGACTGCTAACTGAAAGGTCAGTGGTTCTCACCCACCAGCAGCTTCTGGAGAATCTAATACAGGGCCGCTGTGACTCAATGGCACTTCTCAACCACTCGGGGAGGAAGCACCCAGTCACATCTGTACTGTTCCATCTGCTCTTCCGCAGTCCTGGCGCGGTGCTGCAGGATAAGCACTGGGCGGAATCTGAACCAACTCCAAGGCACTAACAACACTGGATCTTCCAACCATTAGGGTTTTACCACAGACAGACTCCTGTGTGCTCATCGAAACTCGCTTCAGATGCTATCTTCCTGGAGTTCTAAGGAGCCTTTCTCCACGTGTGTGCGGTTTCCTTAAATTGTAGTCTTTCATTTGCAATCCATCTCAGAAGAGGACTCCAATACATTTTCCAACCGACTGTATCTGCAGTTTCTATCACTCAAGCAGTAAGGCGAAAGTAATGGTAAAAAGCATGGAACCCAAACATACAGCAAACTCGCACAACTTCGAAATCCTTGACAAAGTTCCTTTAAATAGTGTGATACACAAACAAGTTTCAGTCAACCCCTCTTTGAGAACATTCTAATCATTACAGTCTCATCAAGTTTATTCTAACAGGAATCTTACTTGAGGAGAGTAGAATATGGTTTACCCAAAGAAATTCTCTTAAAAATTTTAGGGAGCTAAGGGGAAAAGGAGCTCTGGTAGCATAGTGGTTATGAGTTGGCCTGAGAACCTTAAGCTCAGCAGTTTGAAACTACTGTCTGTTCTGTGGGAGGAAAAGGATACTTTCTGCTCCTGTAAAGATTTATAGTCTCGGAGACCCTATGCAGTTCACTATGATTCGGAACTGACTCCATGACACGCCACCACCACCACCACTGAGAGTTAGAAATCTGACAACCACATAGTTTATTATGCTGGGAATGACAAACTGAAGAGGAATTGTGTTGCATTCATTGTCAAAATGAACATATCTAGATCAGTCATGAGGGGCAACGTTGTCTGTGATAGGATAATATCCATGCGCCTACAGGGAAGCCCAGTTAATACCACTATTATTCAAATTTACACATCAACCACTAAAGCCAGTGAGGATGAAAGAATTCTACCAACTTCTTCAGTCTGAAACTGATCACACATGGAATCAAGATAATTATTGGCAGTTGGAATGCAAAGTTAGGAACAAAGAGGAAGGATCAGTAGTTTGAAAATTAAAAAAAAAAAAAAAAAAAGAGATCGTCTGCGACAACATATGCAGACCCCGAGATGCTGTGGCCCCTTGAGATATCGAATGATGCAGAAAGCATCAAAAGAAGATGGAAGGAATACAGAGTCACTGTACCAAAAACCATTTCGAGTCGTAGCATATGATCAAGAGTCAATGATACTGAAGACATTGGCAGAGAATAAAGCTCCAGAAACGGATGGAAGACAAATAGAAACCTTTCAACTGGAGGTACCTATGCCAAGACATATGGAAGACAGCTACCTGACTAACTGATCGGAAGACATCCGTATTTGTGCCCATTCCAACAGGAGGTGAAATAACAGAATGAGGAAATCATCAGACAATATCATTAATATCACGTGCAAGTAAATTTTTGATGATGATAATTAAAAAACAAAACAATTGCAAAAGGCTAGAAGAACAGAAGATACTTCTTGAAAGAAAGACCTACAGGAAAAATATAAAACAACATAGGC